CTTTTCTTTTTTAAATTCAATCTCTAGAGAAGAAACACTTGAGTCACAGTTTTTGAGGTTAACAAAGTGACTGCCTGAGTCTGAAACAATAACTCAAAAGTGTAAACTGCCCTATATATACACAGCACAGCTGAGGGTTAAACTCAGATGCCCAGTGATGATCACTTAAATGTCAACATTGTTAATTATGTCATTCTTCATGTATGAAAGCAGCAGGAGGGTCTCAGATTTGTAGTTTTCGGTCAGTGATATCTCGTTTTGCTGTCACTAGTCAGTAGCAGTTATTAGATCTCGTAGACAGATTTTTTTCTTTTTTGGAAGATGCTAATTTGTCAAAACTGAAACTGTTCACAAGGAAGGATCAGTTTCCACAAGATATTTGGCTAAAAAAATGTTGGGAATTTTTTTAAAAATTGTTGAAATGTCATTTTGACATTTTCTACATGAAAAATTCTGGGTGTCCCCTCCCCATGGAAATGGTTTTGCTTTAAAATTTAAGCAAATGATAGTTAAAAAAAATAGGTCAAAATTAAAAAAATGTTTCAAAACATTGAAATGAAACATTTTGTTTGTCTGAACGGAAATCTCTTTTTCGACTGTCAGACCCTAGGGGAGCCCCAGGCGTATTGGAGTCCCACCCAGGGAAGCTAAGCTCCAGGCAGCAGCATTTCACTTTGGCAACTCACATGAGCAGAGTTTATTTTAGGGCTGGGACTTGAAAGAATATCACTTTTTAAATTCCAGTTCAACCCATTTTGAAAGCATGCTCTGCTCCCCTTTCATGATATTCTGACTTCTCTCTCCTTCTGGCGGATGTCAAGTGTGCAGTTTGTGAGCACTGCAGCAGAAAGCTCTACAAAGCTTCCATTAAAAACACCTCATACCATTAATGTGGTTTCAGTGGGTGTACGTCTTTTATGTACTATTCGACTCAGTTTCTATACTGCACACATCACCGTGCTATCTGAATGCCTTTCAGCAGTGGATAAAACAATCTGAATATCATGTGTCAGGTCAGAATTTGATCCTTATTGTCCAAACCCTGACCCATGTCTAGCACTGAAGATGATTCTGACATGATGTTACGTTTGGCTTAATTCATTTAAGAAACTCTGATGAGCGAAGCATTGAGAAGACAATGAATTCCTGCATTTTGAGGACTCTGAGTGCAGCCCTATTGGTAGGTTTCAGTAGGATAGTTAAGGTGTAAGTGAGAAGAATATGATCCATTCAGATTGGCTAATTTAGAATATGAAGTTTTAGGGCTCAATTCAGCCCAGATCAAACTTTCAGCAAGTGGTGTTGGAAGATAATCCCTTCCCTCCCAAAGCTTGGCTCCCACTGAGCCTTCTCCTGATTCCAAAGACAGAATTGCCCGTTGGCTATACCATGTCTACAGAATATCATCTCTAGGCTATTCCTTCTTCTCCTTTATTGCTTAGACTGATCCTCTGCTTCTTCCTGCCCCAGTAATCTCAGGAGAATAAAGCTGTGCAAACAAATGCCTACCACATATAAACATTAGTCGTGGGAGGGGGAAAGAAGAGATTAGTAAAAGTGGTGAAAGGTTGGGTTTTTTTAAAGCACAAATTCTGTTTCCAGCTTCCAGCACAAGTAACTCCACTGAACGTTGGGAAATTCTGCACGCTCCCTGCAGGCGCTGGAATGGCAGCAGGCTAAGGTTAGAGTAGCTTCCCGAGTGGGGGAGGGATCAGATGATCCCCAGAAGAGGAGTTCCTCCTGCCCTATCTCTCTGCATGTCTGTCTCACCACAGGTGGCCAAACAAGAAGCCTTTGCAAGACAGGACTCCACACATGAAGGCATCTCCTGTCCTGATGTCCCCAAGTTAAATGAAAATTCCTGCACTGGTTCCTTTGTATCCAAGAACTCTACATCCTGGGAACAGGATTTGCACATATATGCCAAACATATTACAGTTGCACTCCCAGCTTGGATCTTATTCCACAAAAAATATTGGCTTTCACTCCACTAGACCAGAGATTCATAGACAAGGCAGAATCCAAAAAAGGCTTTTCCAACTTAGGTTTTGTGCACCTAGGCCTGAACTATTAAGCCTCATCTCTGTGTAGTTTTTGCTTTTCTAGCTGACAAAAGGAATGGAGTTATGGTTGGAATGTCAACATTTTTACCATGCAATTGTTATTTTTAATTACCATTGTGCCTAAGAGCACCAGTCATGGATCAGAACACCATTGTGCTAGGCTCTGTACAAACAGAACAAAAAACATTGTTCCCTGCTACTGAAACAGTGGGGCAGAGGGGGGCGGCGGATCACAGTTTCTGGATCATGTGTGACAGTCAATGAAAATTGCACTTCACACACTGGTAAAAAATTGTGAAATACAAAAATTAGGACTTTCACCAAACTGTGGGAGAACACTTCAACATCTCTGATCTGTTGGTCAGGCAGAAAGTTAAAACAGCACCGATTGTTACAAAAGCAAACTGCAACCGAGGATTGTTGAATTAGAACAGAGGAGAGCTTTCATTGTCCCTCACTTGGATAATGCCAAGGATTGTGTTTGTTTGTTTTTACGGAGTGTTTTACAGTCATCTAGATAAGGACATACATATATGCTCAGCTGGGGAGTCTTTGGTTCAGTCTCCAAAATTTCATTATGCTGGAACATAGATCCAATTCTTCCCCCCGCCCCCCCATTAATTCTCCAACCCACTCATGGTTGTCCATATATCTCACTTGCAGAACTGGGTGAAAGTGGTCCTAAAATGTAGAGACAAACTGGGGGCTGCTCAGCTTGATGGGGAGCAGAAGGCAGGACCACAACCTTCTTTGGGTTTACGCAATGCACTAGGCAAAATACTTGTGGTTAACAGAGCCCAGAACAGTTATAAAACAATTGCAGTTATGAATAAGATAGTGTTAATGACCAGATCTGTGGCTGCCTTTATATGTCTATAATAGGCACTGTCTTACCTTTAAATCTCTGTTGTAAAACTGTCAACTATGAGTTTGTTTGGGGTTTTTTGGTGCTGGGGGGGGGGGAGGGAAGGGTTTGGTTTTTTAACACACTTTTGGACTGAAATTATTTCTCTTTTTAGGAGTTCATTGGAATTTTTCAATGTTGTCTACTGTAGTCATTCAGATTCATAGTTTAATCTAATTCTATTCCAGGTCTTTGGAGTATAAGTACAGTGGGATTCAGTTTTACTGATCATCTTTTTTCATTTCTCTATAAGGTCCAAATATTAGGCTCCACTCCTGCATTGCAAATCAACTGATCAGATCACTGTACCTCTATGGAGCCCAGATGATTTCTCAATCCAGGGTTGAGGTCTGACTTTCGTAAAGCCATTTTCCTTTTGGTGCTGATGTATTTGCCCACTCATTCACAGTGAGGATTTGGGCCCCATCTTGCAAAGATTTACATAATGAATAACTTTCAACATATAAGAAATCCCATCTAACTCAACAAGACTACTCATGTTCTTAAAGGATAACACATGCATAAATCTTTGCAGCATTGGGATCTTGGTTTTTCTTTCTAAATCAGAAGTGCATCTTCAATCTTTCAGAATCCCATTTGGTTTTAAAGAATAAGTTAGAGAGTAACTAGCATTTATCCATATATTATAATTTGACTTATTGGCTATGGCACTACAATTTCTCGATGATCTAATTTTGTCCTGGCAAGATAGAAATTTTGCTCCTTTTCTTAAGAAATTTATAGAATCATAGAAATGTAGGGCTGGAAAGGACCTCAAGAGGTCATGTAGTCCAGATGAGGCAGGACCAAATCAACCTAAACCATCCCTGACAGGTATTTGTCCAACCTGTTCTCAAATGATGGGATTCCACAACCTCCCTTGGAAGCCTAATCCAGTACTTAACTACCCTTACAGTTAGAAAGGGTTTCATTGTTTTGTGGCTCTGCATAGAATGATCATCTGGCTAGAATGATCAAAATGGGGGTTCTACACAATGATCCTTGGGATATGATTCCAGTGCCTTAAAAAAGCCAAAACAATCATAGCAAATTAAAACTGAGACAGTGGTTCTGATTGTGCAATTCAGTCCAAGCCCTTTATGCAATTCAAGTGGTATAAATGGTCCAAGACCCAAGCAGCTCTCCCCAGCAGGGAATTCCTATGGTACAAAGCAGTTCCCATGGTAGACTGTAACAGCCTTATGCCACACCCTGCTGTGGGAACATGTTGGGGTAGGGCTGAGGGCAGTTAGGAATCCAGCCCAATACTCTCTCTCACAATGCTGATACTGTATTACTTAACCATTAATAAACTGATGGACTAACTTGCAAACTTCATTATTTTTACTCAAAATCTTGGAAAACCAAGGGGCCAGCTTGTCAAAAGTGCTCAGCTCCCATTTCAGCAGCAAAATAAGTGGCCAGATTTTCAAGAGTGTCCAAAATTAGCAGCTTCCATCGAGTCAATGCTGGAAGCAGAGCATTTTTGAAACTCAGGATACTTTGTTTCAGTGTCTGCCCAGGAGCTGGGCTCTTCTGAAAGTCTAGCCCATTATTTACATTCCTAAATGGGAGCTGTTGGTTGCTGAGCTCAGTTGAAAGCCTGACCCAGAACATACACTTAAATCAGGAGGGAAGAAATGTGTTTTAAGTTAACTTTACATATAATTTTATATGGCTAACATTACTTTTCCTAATTTTCCGATTCCATAACCTTTGGGTAGAGATGTTTTAATCAAATTCTTATCTACATGGAAGGTAAATGCAGGAACACATTCACAAGACACAATCATTTCTGCATTGACATCAGTTTTTAGTGCGACTGCCAGTTTCACTAGCTTTAGATCTGACTATGTTTCTCTCGTGTCCTTGTTTATTCCTGGTTGAAGTTAGTGTTAAGTCTCTCCAGAAATTAGTTACTTTCCTGTTGTCAATGGAACCTAAGTTCAAAATAATCACAGCTGAGCCTGTAGTTATAACTCTGTACCTGTTTACATTCGTTAGTGACTCGTGTTAATAAAAAATATCTTCAGCAGGGTGAAAATGGTACCTGTTTGAGAAGTGAACAAAAACAGGACTTGAGTCATCCAGGCACTAAGAACTCCGAGAGGAGGTGAGGTTCCTCAAACGTCCAGGGGATATTGAGAGAAAACACTCCCTTGCAATGGCCTCTCTTCATATATTGATTGATGTGAAAAGAGCAACTTCCAGCAAAGATAAGTTTAGCAAAACTTCATTACCTTGGCTCACTTGGGTGAGCTGTTGCTCTAGTTGCTGCTAGCACTGACTATGAGGTTCCAGGTAGGAGTTTCCACTGAAGTAACGCACAAGAAATACTTACATACTCCAAGGGCACCTACACTGGCATTTTCCCCACTGTGTTTGTCTGGCACGAGCAGAATGGTGAGAAAAATTCTAGTGTTGACCAAGCTGTGGAGTCCAGTCTTGAGATGGAGGTGGAGGGTGTGACAGGTTCGGTCACAGAGACTCCCTTGGGACTGTCACCTGATGTGCTGGAATGATCTCTGAGCCCATTTCCCCTGCCAGCCTGGGACTCCATATCCCTGCCTTTTTGAGCCAAACACGCTAGCCTGCTGCAACACAGACCCAGGTCTGGTCCATGCCCCCAAAGCTGCGGACTTAACTGAAAACAGCTTAGCAGGTTACCTCTCCAACACCCAGACACCCAGTTCCCAATGGAATCTAAACCCCAAAGAATTCTGTTTTGCTCTGTTTAATACTTATACAGGGTTGTCCGCCCTCTGTAACACTGATTGAGAGATATGCACAGCTGTTTTCTCCCCCAGGTATTAATCAATCACTTACTCTGGGTTCATTAATAAACAAAAGTGACTTTATTAAGTATAAGAAGTAAGATTTAAGTGGTTTCAAGTAATAACAGACAGAACAAAGTAGGTCACCAAGCAAAATAAAGCAAAACCACACAAGTCTAAGCCTAATACATTAAAAAACTGATTACAGATAATATCTCGCCCTTAGAGATGTTCCAATAAGCCTCTTTCACAGACTAGACTCCTTCCTAGTCTGGGCTCAATCCTTTCCTCTGGTACAGTCCCTGTGAGTTTCAGCAGCCATCTTAGGTGGTAAGCAGGGGCTCTCTCATGACTGGAAGCCCTCTCTGTCCTGCTCCACGCCATTTTATAGTTTTGGCACAAGGCGGGAATCTTTTGTCTCTCTTGGTCCCCACCATGGTAAAGTACCAGATTTAAGATGAATTCCATTATCAGGTGACATGGTCACATGTCCCTGTGAGACCTCAATCTTCATTACCCGCAGGCTGGCCCACATGTACACAGGCAGGCTTGCAGGTAAATAAACCATTTACAACCAATTGTCCTAGTCAATGGGAGCCATCAAGATTCTAAACCACCATTAATGGCCCATACTTTGCATAATTACAATAGGACCTCAGAGTTATATTTCATATTTCTATCTTCAGATACAAGAATGATACATGCATGCAAACAGGATGACCACACTCAGTAAACTATAAGCTTTGTAATGATACCTTACAAGACACCTTTTGCATAAAGCATATTCCAGTTACATTATATTCACATTCATAAGCATATTTTCATAAAGCATATGGAGTGCAACATCACTGAGGGAGTCCACTAATAAGTTAAGCAAACAGGAGACCAAGTGGCATAAAGTATGCTTAACAAAAGCTGGGCAGTTCTAAGATTCAACAGGCTTGGAAAATACAGACTGGACCCTCTCCTCAGCTCCTAACAACACTGCAGAGCTCCTGGAATAAAGAAACCTTTTGATCTTTGTAAGCAGATTGAACTGGAGAGCAGCTCAATCCTGAGCCATCTCTGTTGCTTCAATCATCCATGCCCATGGCAGCTCCCCCTCCCCTTCTGAAGCAGGCAGGCCAGGCTGCTCCTTCTTCCCCAGCATACTCCCACATCAGCCTCAGGGGCAGATCAGAGTGCAGTGCGTAGAGTAGTTCAGGAAAGGCTTAGTAGGTATATGGTGTGTGTGTTAGGGAAGCAGGAGTCAGAGAATGAAAGGCAAGGGAGAGAGGTCAGAAAGGAAAAGTAAGGGCAGAAGGGAGAAATGGATTGATCTGTAGGAGAGAAAAATGAATGGGGAAAAGAGAGGAGGCAGGGGACAGAAAACAGCCATCCAGGTAGCAAATGTAAATGATGAGGAAGCAAACTCAGGCCTCCTGCAAGGCATTGCAGAGCTCTAAAGTTTTCTGAAGCCGCCCATTTTGTAAGCCTTCTAAAGCATGAATTCTCTCCAGGCACCTGGTTCAGAAAACAAGCCAACCTACTCAATTTGTTAACAGGTGATTAACATCCCTCCTTCCATCTTCCTGGCCATCTGCTAAGATGCACCAACTGTGTGAGTTAGCTTCTGTCTGGGAGCTGACCTGGGCTACATTTAATGTATTTTACAAAACTCTGCCTTGTTCTCACAGATGTGATTGAATCTTTGTGATGTGCAGCACAGTGCACGCTGGTTCTCTGCACATCATCAGGCTGCCTAGGAGCCCCACTTGTGGCCCAATTGCCTGTCATGTTACTTGCTGTAGGAGTCAAATGTAAACAATTTTTTAAAATCCCAAAATATTCTGAGGAAGGGACTTGCTCAATAAGAGTTAGGTGCCTAAATACCTCTGAGGAGCTGGGCCGGGGGCTTTCAAAATAGTGGTGCTAGGCAGAAAAAAACCCAATCCTTTTGCCTGGCTGTCTAATTATTTCCTTTAGAAATATTTTAGGTGTATGGTGTTCTCTCAAGTTCTAATTTCAGCAAAAGCATTGTATTTATGGCTGAGTAAATGCAATTTTCAGAATAAACAGAACATTCACATTGAAGTGTTCAATAGCACACAAAGCTAGTTTCCAATCAGAGCAGCTACAGAGGTCACAGGCTCATAAAAAACAATGATTAGAAAGAGTAAAAATGTACAGTGGAAAAAATCTCTATACAGTTAGAGCTACTGGATACATTAACATTTTTTTTCCTTTGAACAGGTGGAAGTTTGAGAGAGGAATGATAGCTTAGCATAGTATTATGGCCCTGATTGCTCAAACACAGTAGAGCATAGCAGTGCTGAGATCTGTTTTTGGTCCCTCATTCAGGGCTGCCTGAGCCTGGTTCAAGTTAATAGCATAGGTGAGGGATGCCCCTGTGTAGCCCTGTCATAAGGTTCCCTAGAGGATTTAACTTAGTTCCACACCACATCCCCTCACGTCCCTGTCCCACTCACACCCCAGTTCTAGAACACCCCAAACATATCTCACTCCTTATGCTTACACCCTGGGGTGGGGAAGCAGGTGGTTCTGGCAAAACACACAAGAGAAATTCTCTATTGGCTCTCAACAGAAGCTTTAAGGCCACTTTAAGCTACTTCAGTGATACAGAGTGGCCTTAGTGGATTAAAGAATGCAGCCCTATATATTTACATTGGCAGCAATAAAAACCCAGTAAAAACTTTAAAGTACAGTGCAGAAACTATTTTTATTGTGTATTAGCAATGTGTGAACATGTTTGGATAAAATAAGATTAGCACAAAACTTGAACCAAACCTTAACTTTTGAGGTTTGAAAATGTTTTCAGCTTTCATTTTTAAAACTTCATAGGTCTCTGTACTCTCTGGGTTCAGCAGGGACAGGCAGCAGCCATACTCAAATATCATGCAAGAAACTATCACCACAAGATATACAACTATTTCTAGAACAAATAGGTTTGGATGTTAGCCTGTCCAGATCCAGCACAGAGGTATTTTCAGTAAGCAATTTATTCAAAACAGAATCCTTTTCTCTTAGAGAATTATCAGCAGATAGGTCGTGAATTACACATTTGTTCAGTGTTCAGAATTATTTAACACATTTTTATGTGAGCAAATTTCATCTTGTAGATTACTGTTGTTTCAAGTGTTTGCTATTTGGGTTGTCACCTCAGGTTTTTCGACTCAGTGATTGGAAAAAACAGTTGTGAATGAATATGTTATTTATTCAAGCCCTTCTCCTGTTTACAAGAGTTTCAGTTATCAACAGGTTTCAGAGTAGCAGCCGTGTTAGTCTGTATTCGCAAAAAGAACAGGAGTACTTGTGGCACCTTAGAGACTAACAAATTTCCTGGAGCATAAGCTTTCGTGAGCTACAGCTCACTTCATCGGATGCATTCAGTGGAAAATACAGTGGGGAGATTTATATACATAGAGAACATGAAACAATGGTATTATACTGAAACAGTTTAAAGCAAGTAGGGCTTGTACTTGGGCTACAGAAGCCTAGTTTCAGCATTGAACATTTTTCTTCTTTCCCACTCCCATGCCAATGTTTGGCTCTCTCTTTTTGAAAGTTATCTGAAAACACAGATGTTTAAGAAGCATGTTCTTAAAGAGCAAAATCCTATCCCCACTGAAATCAGTGGGAGTTTTGCCATTAACTTTAAATGAGCCAAGATGTCCCCCTTTATTTTTATTAATGGCCAAGTGTTAAAGGGAGTGCTTACTAGAACAATTTGTCCGGCTGCTGAAATTGAAGGGTTTAAACTATTACATAAAATAATTACAACACTGCAAGCTTTGGGGGGCAGGGTTTGTCTTTCTATTATTTGTTTGTAGAGTGCTTAGCAGAATGGAGCCCTGATACGATAAGCTTCTAAGTGCTACCACAGTACCATAAATTGTTTGGGGTTTTTTTGCAAGGGCATAGGAGGAGGAAGTGGTATAAGCACCTCCATAAGGAAACCTATACACTGCAAAAGCAATATGAACCTGTATCTTTGTTCTGGCTTTTAATATCCCCATGCCTGGCCATCACCTCTTCCCCATCCCCTGTACATCCTGCTCTTGTTAATATTAGGAATCATTTATCCAGTGCCAGCACATGGAGAGGGTATATTGACATAACACCATACTCTTAACTCCTTGGCCAGTCCCAATAATGCTCCTCTGTGATTTACATAATAGAAGGCCTAGAGAAAAGTCTTTCCATGCCTCAGAGTACTCTGTTTGGGAACAGATATGTAATTTGAGTGCCTAAAACGGGAAGTGGGTGCTGAGCTCTTGAGTATCTGGCCCCTGATCCAGAGTCACACTAGTGACTTTTCTTCAGGATGTCAGGCTAGAACCATATGCACAGGCTTTGGCCTGTTTCCTAAACCTTCATAAAGAAATATAGCATATGACTCAGTAAGGTAGGGTTTTTTTATTTGTAAAAACCTACGTATTTTCATGGTCTCTGGCCTACCATCACCATTTTGGAACACCTCCTCATGCATAGAGTGGCCCTATAATGCAGCCCACATCCAGTTCCCCTTCTCAGGGCTCCTCACGAATATTTCTCCAACACTCTCATAGGCTAATAGCATCCATAGCACAGAGATACTTATTAATATGAACACTTCAAATCACAAGAGTTAAATGCCATAACTCAAAAGGTTCTAGCTCCACCACCTTCTGCGAGTACAGCTTCTCCATCAGTCTCAATCTTCCTTCAGACTGGAGCACTCTCAAGCTTCCCTCCACAGTCCTGTAATAGACTTAACAACTCAAAAGAAGCAACAGCATAAACAATGGCCGGCCACCTACCGTAGGCTTAATAAGAGTCTCAGAGGCCTCCTGGGTTCCTGCATTCCTCCTGGGTTCCTCCTGGGTTCCTCTGGATCCAGCATTTCCACTTCCTGCTAATCAGACCTATCTGCTATTGTCAACAGGCCAGTGCAGTACAGGGGGCTGGATGGCAGCCTTCTCATAAGGCAGGAGGCACCTGAAATGGAATGGAATAGCAGTAGCCTCTGAACAGAGTAGGAGATTGCTGTTGACAAAGATCACTGGATACCCTATGAAGATATAGGCCTCAATTTTCAGAAGAGCCCGTTAATTCTGGGTGCCTCTGTTTTTCGGGTGCCCAACAAGATCTCTTGGTATTTATAAGTCTAAGTTTGACTATACACTCAACTTTAATTACACCAGGTCATGTTAGTCGACCAAGCAAATGAGATCTAACATGGCAAAACTTATACTCAGGGTTTCTTCAGAATGCAACTTCAAATGGACTACTCAGCTGCTTAAAGTTAAACCTGTCTCTAAGCCTTTGCACAACCGGGGCTTGAATTTTTGCCAGCCTCTGTATGGGTCCGCCTCCAAATATATAATGCCACATCATTTGACATTTTTATATTGTTATAAATTGCATTTTAATTTAAATTGGTTAAATCCCAGAGTCCATTCGTGGAGAGCACTTTATAACTTAAGGCCCAGATCCACAAAGGTATGTAGACCCCTAACTTCCCTTAATATCAATTAAAAAAGGATATCAAAAAGGAAGGGAACCACCAAGGGATGTAGGTGCTGCAACACTGAGCATCATGGTGCCTATTTTTTAGGAACCTGGAAAATCACAGGCACAACACTGCAATCCACAAAACCCTGGGTTGGGCACCTACGATCCCTCTATCATGAATGAAGGCAGAAGGGGTATGTCTACTCAGCAAAAAAAGAAACCTGCTGCAGAGTCTTACAGCCCGGGTTAATGACTGAGGCTCATGGGGCTCAAGCTACAGGCTAAAAATAACAGTGTAGAAGTTCCTGCACAGGTGGGAGCATGGGCTCTGAAACCCAGCAAGAGGGGGAGGGGAGTGTATAGAAATTAAAATTTTCCCCTGCAGGAAGAGAAGGAGAAGGCTCTGCTCCCAAACCAAGCTCCTGTCTCAACTGCCAGGAGCGCAGGCAACTGCCTCTAGATCAGGAGGTTGGAGATTGGATGATGGAGATAGCCCAACAATGAGAAAATCCATTGGGATCAATTAAAGTGCAATTACCTCATTAGCATGACTTGGATATAAATAAGGAAAGCATGAACTATATCTATACCAGCTTGATATCTAGTTGGCAGCCGATATCAAGCGGAGTGCCCCAGGGGTCGGTCCTGGGACCAGTTTTGTTCAACATCTTTATCAATGATCTGGATGATGGGATTAATTGCACCCTCAGCAAGTTCGCAGATCACACTAAAATGGAGGGGGGGGGAGATAGATATGCTGGAGGGTAGGGATAGGGTCCAGCGTGACCTAGACAAATTGGAGGATTGGGCCAAAAAAATCTGATGAGGTTCAACAAGGACAAATGCAGAGCCCTGCACTTAGGAAGAAAGAATCCCAATCACTGCTACAGGCTGGGGACCGACTGGCTGAGCAGCAGTTCTGCAGAACAGATAAATGGAACTGTTTGCATGCTGAGAAAAATAAAGAGACTATGACATTGCATGGCTAGCATATGTTGCATGTAGTTGGCCTGTTTGACTTTGTCTGAGTTTGCCAACCCACAGATACAAAATAGCTGGCCTTGCATCAGCTCAGCAAGGAAGAATTCCATTCCTTAGGCCCCCTTGGAACACGAGTCCTGGAAGAGTCACTGAGCAAAAAAAAAACCCTTAAATGAGCAACATCAGGGCTTTAATGGTATTTTAACCTTTATGCCAGCATTTTCCAAACTATGGGTTTTGAACCCTCAGGTGTCATGAGAGGGTACCGGGGGTGGGAGCAGGTTCATGAGAAAAAGCGGGGTGGGAGGGGAAAGTCTGGTGGAAGGCAAGCCATGGTGATCTTGAGTCGGGTGTTGGGCAGTGGATTCACCACCCACGCCACAGGCTGTGTTGACTGTACAGCGCTCGAACTGCTAGAGAGCGGGCCAGCAGGTTTCCACAGGGCAGTTAGAGCACCTGTGGCTTGGGCAGTGAATCCAGCATCCCACAATCAGCTCTGGCTGGTGCCGAAGACTTGGACCAGCAGCAACAGTAGCAGAGGCACCAAAATACTGGAGGAGGTGTCAGAGGAGTTGTTCTTCACTGCCCACACCTCTCTTTCAGGCTAACCTGGGCTGACCCAAAAGGAAGTACTGCATTCCAGAGACAGGGCAGCTCTGTCCTGCCTGGGAGCCTCTTCTCCCTGGTGCTCCTACAGCATGGTGAGTAGCCCCTGCTGCTGGCCTGAGTCTGGACTTGATCCACTGACTTGATCCACTTCCAGGGGTAGAATGAGGGAGGACCTCCCTGCTTGGCCATAGGAGGGGAGATATCCTGGCCAGTCAGCATGGAGTATAGGGGAGGGGAGAGAAGGGGAGAGGTTGTGGCAATGGGAAGGGGTTGCGTGGTGGGAACACCATACACCTGCCCCAAAGTTCACCAGCCACCACTGGATTTTATAACTTTTAATATAAATTTAAGATCATGTTATTGCCATGTTTGGTGTAGCAGGGTAGGCTAAAAATGTTTTTTCGTGCTTTTAATTTTCAAACCCCCATAGTTTGCATTAACAGAGGTGAGCCCAGCTTGAAAAGGCTTGGAAACCACTGCCTTACACAATGTACACATGTTGCTTGCATGATGTTTTCAGCTGCAAAGCAGGGCATGGATTTAACTTGTAATTTATCCAAGATTCTGATAATGATTATGCAGAACTTCATTTATTAAAATAGCATGCACCAACTGGGACTAAAGACCCAAATGAAAGCTGCTTTGTTATATCCCACTACCAGAGCAAGCCTATCAAATCAGTACATCTTCTCAAGCCTGGGAGCTTCAAAACTACACCCTAATCCAAAAAAGGTATTTAGGCACCTAACCACTGCGCCTAACGTAGTGTGGGGCTTCCCCAGTCTCTACAGTTGAAGCTGTTCCACTGTGGCTAACTAAGAGCAATGAGAGCAGCGGAACTGGCTCCTGGGTCTCCCACTTCCCACGGAGGCACCCTAACCACAAGGCTACAGAGTCATTTGCATGCTTGTTCTCCTGGCCCAATGACTATTTAAGTATTTCTCCATGGTGGCTCAGTCATTGGGCCAGAGAGAGAGAGAGAGAGAGAAACAAATGAATGAATTGCTCTGTAGCCTGATGGATTGGTCCCCCTGCTCTAATCACTCTTTCATTATTTATCCACAGTGGAGCAGCTTTAACAGGAGAGAATGAGGAAGCCCCCTCTCAGACTAGCCCTTAGAATCATAGAATATCAGGGGTGGAAGGGACCTCAGGAGGTCATCTAGTCTAACCCTCTGCTCAAAGCAGTGGAGCACACTATTAAGAGGTAGGATTTGAACAGGAACCCTCTTTCTCCCTCTCAAGCAGAGACATGGGGAACTGAAGGTGGATCCTTCTACATCCTAGGATAGTGTGCTAACCATTGGGATAAAAGTTATAAGATGGGCACTGACTCCTCTGGACACTTTGTATGGAGTGAGGCAGGAGCCTAATTCATTCCTGCAAAAAACATCATAGGTGTCTAAGCGAGCTGGTGTCAAGAGGCAGGTTCCCATTTGTGGATCACTCAACGGCACCTCCCTAAAGCCCAGACTTAGGCACCCAGGCCTGAGAAGGGTTGGGGCTTATAAGACACTCCTCTCAGTGGCTAGCTTAGACAACACCCCAACAAGCATGCTGGCGTTTGTGGATCCCATTCTAAGGCACCTACCTCTCTCCATTCATTGTGCAAGTTCCTTACTCAGACTTTGTGGATCACAGTGTTGTTCCTATGATTTTCTAGCACCTAATAGTTCAATGCTGTGATGCTGAGTATTGCAATGCCTAAGTCCTTTTGTGGATCCAGACCCTAGTGCCCTTCTGCCAATTAACTCCACCTACAGCTTGGATCCAGCCTGGAAGTGACATCTGTTGCCAGCCCTTCCCCACACCCAGGGCTATTTTAGCTGCTGTAATTTTCTATTCCTTCCTTTAACTCAAATCATGCGGGGCTAGACTCACAAAGGGAATGAGGTTCAGCATTGCAACACCTAACTTTAAACACCTCGATGTCCAGTCCAACCCTCAGACCTGAGTTAGGCGCACAGACTCCTTATACAATGCATGCTGAGAGTTAGAGGCCTAAGAATGGGATCCCAGATGAACGCACTAAACGCTAGACTAGAGAGCCCTTCACTCTCTCTTACTGGCCCAGTGAATATTTAAGTATACAAAATAGAGCAGCTTCTACAGGAGAGATTGAGAGGACCTCACCTCAGAATACCACATAGCTCTGTGTTTAAGGTACTTAGCTGGGAAGTGGGAGACCTGGCTTCAAGTCACTGCTTTAATCAGGCAGAGTAGGGACTCAAACCTGTGTTTCCTATATGCTAGGTGAGTGTTCAAACCAGTAGGATAAAGGAATGGTACCATCCTCCATTTTGGGCAAGGCCTGATCCAGGAGGCATGCTTTTAGGCAGTCTCTGAGAACACCTACAGCATCAGGCAAGATAAAAAGTGGAATGCCTAGTCTGAAGATACCACAGGCATTTAGGTTCAGAGCAGTTTGGTGGTATCCGAATTTAGGCAGCTTTGGGCATGACCACTGGGAAAAATTTAGGTATCTTGTGAATTTAAATAGCTGCAGGATTAGGCAGCAGCTAAGTGGGTGGGTGGGATTGAGAAGTTAAATTTTTAATGTCACTTTGAATATCGTTTGTCACTTTTAGAAGTAAAACACCAGAGGGGATAATTGTGTTAATTCTACACATGCTGTAAGTGAAATGGATTTTTATCCTTCTGTGAGACAGTTCACAGCATAGCATGCTATCATTTATCTCCACCAATGCCTAGCTATCGGGTTCACCTGACAGATCAGTAGTGTGAGGAATTTGCCTGGCTGGGTCTTGAAATGACCCTTCTGGAATCCTTAAGCAACTGCTCTAGCAATGGCCTGCCATTACCCTGCCCTTCAGTGCTTAATTTGTAATGAAAGAGGTGCTGAGGCTCAAGCACTTAGATGCCATGGCATAAGCAACTTCCATAACTGACACAGCAAGCCCAGAGGCCCTAGGGCTCAATGAACTGGCAAGCCTTGAGGTGCCAGGGATCAATCCTAGCAAACCCTGACACAAATTAAGCACTGCTGCCCTTCAAGGAAGAGAGTGAAAGGTTTTGACCTTCCTCTCCTCAATGTTCTATGTTTAGACCTTTGGTGTCACCATTATTTTCATTTTATTTTTGTCAGCAATGGTTGAGCCACACAATTATCTGTGTGATTATAAATGGATAAATGCTGCTGGTGTACAGCAAAGTATTCTTTACACATTCAATATTGCTACCCCACATATTCAAAAATCATGAGTCAGCCCTTCTCCCCACATCCCACCACCAAAAAGCCTGTAATATTGGCTAAAAAAGCTGAGATTTTTTTAAAAAATAAATACCTTTTTATTTGCCTTCTTGGTTTTGAGCCATTAGGGGGTCGAATTTTCAAGCTTCTCTGTACAACCATGAGGGCTAGAAACTTCCTTTGATTTAAATGTAAGTTGAGATTCTCAAGTAATCGCATGACCCTAGGAGCTAGGGATTTCAAAATAACACCAAATATTGTGAGAGTTTGGAGCATTCGTGAGCTTCTGCAGGACAATGCTTTTATGCCGTATTTCTTTTCTACTATTTTCAGAGAACTCATCAATATATAAAAACAGTCAGAGATAGTCAAATATTTTACTTCTAAGATTTCTAAAGGACGAGAACACTAAGTGGAGCTAATTGGTATCCTACCTCTCCCTAATCCCCCATTTGCATTTGCTGTTTGCAGTGCTACTGTTTTGTGAAAAAACAAACAAACAAACAAAAACCTATCTGCTTCAGCCTTGCTAAAGATTTCTCACAACCTACCTGAGGCAATACTATCTCCATTTCAGGCCCTTGAGTCATACTTGCTTATAACACCACCTAGCTCCTATATAGCTCTGTATATTAGTCGCTCACAAGCTCTAATGTATTTATCAACACAATGCCCCTGTGAAATAGGGAAGTATTATTATCCCATTTTACTAATGGGAACTGAGCACAGAGACTTATATGAGCTAAAGCAAGCTTTAATAACTATTAAAATTGATGTTTCGGAAGAATGGATGGTAAGACAAATATTTGCTATATGATGGTGAAAATGAAAAATCTCTTACTAGAGTTCTTACAAAGAGACTGTTTGAGGCCACCCTAAAATAGAAAGTCTGGAGAAACATTATTCAATCATGCAATGTTGGGATATTAGGCCTGCCAGAAAATGTTGATGGCCCTGACTCATTTAGGCCCTGGTTCTGCTGCCCTTGCTCATATTCAGCAGTATGTCACTATATGAGTACTGCCATGGAAGGGATTAGTCACTAAGGCCCTCAGGTCTGCAGAGAGCCCTGTAGCCATGCAAAGGTCTAATGGCTCTGTAGGAAGCTGTACTGGGACAAAGGCCAGCTCATTTGGAGTCATTTAAAGGACTGGGACTATAGTACAGTGCTAATCCATTTGACAAAGGGTGGTAGAAACTGGCCCTTTAATAACTTTTCTTAAGTCTTAGGAAAAAGCAGGTCAGAAATTTGAACCACCTTTACATATTCTATAATATTTCAGCATTTTTTTTTCAATCTTTTCTCAGGCCCTTCATTTTGCTTCTTCACAGTTTCATACAGTTCATATCAGCTCTGTTCAACTTTTAACATTACCTTTGCATCTCTACTTCATAAAGAAAATGTTATGAGAGAAACTTGGAGACAGAAGATTTAAATTTTGTAATAAACATGCGTATTTTCCCAGTGTTCAAAATCTCCTTCAACAAGCCAAATTATATCTAGTTTAACTTTCAGATTATGCTGCTTTTAGTTACCCAATTGCTACCAAAAAACAAATCACCCAAACCACTGAATGGAGATATTGTAGAGGTTTCCAATGAATCACTTTCGTATTCTCTTTCTGCTTCATTAGGCTTGTTAGATATTATCTTTGGTGGTGTTTAAGATGTCTGTGTTATATTATTCAGACTGAATGAAGATAATATATCTGTATTTGATGATTCATCTTCAGATTCTATTTTTGGTCAAGCTTTTTTGGATATTATGTGTGGTATTGTCTTTGTTGTTCTTCCTTGAGATAACATTTAAACTTCCTTCCTTTTCATATTAATGTATATCAAGATTAAATTCTTTGCACATTGTCGGAAGTGATTTGTGGATTTCATGTTTGTGAGCCCCAACCCAGCAAGCATATGTGACGGGTGCTTAAAAATAAGCATGTACTTAAGTGCTTTGCTGGATTTGGGCCTATGTCGATAAATTTCTTCTGAAGTAAACAACTTTGAACACACAAATTAGTCATGTACTGAAAACTGTCAATCTTAGTTAATGCATTTGCCCTTTCCTTATATACCATTTCTGTTTAAATACTGTACAATATACAGAGGATCCCATAACACACAGCATGTAACAATGAATTTTATTAAGGCACAATGCTTGCAGATTCACCTACATGGAGTGTTGTGGTTATCAGTTACATACTTTGTTATTTGAAATACATATAATAAAGCCGGACAAACACCTACAATGCTTTATTGTTTAACACTTTGATCATTCCCTTTCTGAAATGTCTCCTGTGGCAAATATATTATTGTGTCAATCAGAGAATATCCCTATTTGTTAATGCCTGTTTGTCATTCCATTTGGCTGATATACCTGTGTACACTCTGGATCTAGAAAGCATAGAGGATAATATACAGAGGTGCTTGGGGCTTTATCCCACCGATCTGAAAATACATAGTCCTAAACCTGTTTCCCTGGAACCTTTTAGGAGATTAGAAGGATATTTTACCTTACCAACCTGCCTGTGAGAAATGACATTCCCTGTATCAGGGTTACCTTTGGACTGATAGGTATGCTGTTTGCTTGTAGACATAAACCAACCATTTTAAGTGTTCACTAATTTTGAGTGATTCTGTTATTGGGTAGCCAACTTCAGACACTTCTGGCCTCATTTCAGAAGCACTGAGCATCCACAAATCTAGTGGATTTCAGTGGGAGCAGTAAGAGATGAGAACCTCTGAAAATCCATCTCTATATTTCTCTTACAGGACTGCAGGTGTGAGGAAGCAAACGAAACTCCCAAAAGATTCTCATTGTATATGAGAAGTTTAACATTTCCAGGATGTACCTTTGAGATAATAAGCCCTGTCATATGGTGAGTTGATGTGTAAGCAGGGCAAAGGAGCATGGCAGCTCTTTCTCACCACACTGTGGCATGAGGCAGGTTCCTGCCAGAGGTCTGGAGAGATTTGTTATAGGTGTTCAGAAACTTGCAGGGCTGACAACTGAATGCACCCCATATGCCTACAGTGCATGCACTGCCCCTGCTGAGAAGAGGATCAAAAAGTTTTGTATAACATGTAACACTGATGTGCTCTACAGAATCCTTCCCTTCAACAGCAGGATTCCTAGGCCACACCTTTGAGCTGCCTTCCTGTCTTAGCAAGAGAAATTTAGCGTTGTCTTCTTTTTGCACACATTTGCATATCGTATATACATTCATGAGTACGTACTAAACACAACATTAACACTGACAACGGGTGACAATAGTTGTACTCCTCCATTTTTGTAAAGATTAATTTCAGGAGCTATTTAGCATAAAATGTGTATCTTCTTATCACCCGCTTGGTCTATCTAATTTCTTAAACTCATGAGACAGTTCAGCTCTTTCAATGTGGTAGTTCTATTTTTTTTTTCCAACTGCTACAGCTGGTATCTTCCCTGAGGATGGGTTTTGTACAGTAAATACTTTTAAAGTATGAATGATGTATGCTTTAAAAAAAGATTGACAAATTTCACCGAGGTACAACTCCACAACCCCCTTTTTAGGCCCAGGAAAAGTTCTTGTTTATTTTAATATGATGGCCTAAGGTTTGTAGGTCCTACCATAATACTACTAATAAATAACAATAATAAAATAAGTTTTCAACTCCACAGAGGTTCACCCCTGCCCTTGTCAAATAACAGACTACAGAACCACTTAGCCATGACAAATCTGAGCCAAGGAAGCATATAAAATATTCTGGCCCAGATGCTCACCTGCTGTAAATTGGCATAGGTCTTCAATGAGCTGTGCTGATTTACACCAGCTGTTGATCTGGCCCTCACCAACATGTAAATGTTTTAAAAATTAGCACAACAAAAATCAATATTATAAGAATAGTAAATAACAAAAGACATTTTCTACTCCAGTGAATTTCAGTGTCACTATTTCCTGTCACCCACCCGTTTCATTGGGGCAGGGACAGAAAGGGTTATTGCAGAACTGTACATCTTGAATTCCATTGTTAGATTCTTCTGCCACTATGTTCTCACATTTCGTCAGCTGACTTTCTTGGAAGACTGTGCAGTTAGTTTCTTATCTCCTATGTTCTTTGTATGATTTGTACTATGTCGATGTTAAAAGATGGAGAATTGAGCAATACTTTCCAGAAGTTTTATGAGCTGTTTCCTAGAAATGTTAACCACCTCTCTGAGAGAAAATGTTTTGCTGATAAAACTGATTAACAAGATCAGGGTCATAAAATACAGATATATTTTGTGAATGATTGTGTGTGTTATCTGAGTGTAAGAGCGGGGTTCCCCAAAACTGTAACTTTACCCCCAAGGCAGCTGGTTACAGAAGAATAGAATCATAGAATCATAGAATATAAGGGTTGGAAGGGACCCCAGAAGGTCATCTAGTCCAACCCCCTGCTCGAAGCAGGACCAAATCCCAGTTAAATCATCCCAGTCAGGGCTTTGTCAAGCCTGACCTTAAAAACCTCTAAGGAAGGAGATTCTACCACCTCCCTAGGTAACGCATTCCAGTGTTTCACCACCCTCCTACTGAAAAAGTTTTTCCTAATATCCAATCTAAACCTCCCCCACTGCAACTTGAGACCATTACTCCTCGTTCTGTCATCTGATACCATTGAGAACAGTCTAGAGCCATCCTCTTTGGAACCCCCTTTCAGGTAGTTGAAAGCAGCTATCAAATCCCCCCCTCATTCTTCTCTTCTGCAGGCTAAACAATCCCAGCTCCGTCAGCCTCTCCTCATAACTCATGTGTTCCAGACCCCTAATCATTTTTGTTGCCCTTCGCTGGACTCTCTCCAATTTATCCACATCCTTCTTGAAGTGTGGGGCCCAAAACTGGACACAGTACTCCAGATGAGGCCTCACCAATGTCGAATAGAGGGGAACGATCACGTCCCTCGATCTGCTGGCTATGCCCCTACTTATACATCCCAAAATGCCATTGGCCTTCTTGGCAACAAGGGCACACTGCTGACTCATATCCAGCTTCTCGTCCACTGTCACCCCTAGGTCCTTTTCCGCAGAACTGCTGCCTAGCCATTCAGTCCCTAGTCTGTAGCTGTGCATTGGGTTCTTCCGTCCTAAGTGCAGGACGTCCTAAGTGCAATACCGGGTGTGTCATGGGAAATCATGCAAAAAGTGTTAAATGTAGCCAACAAAATCATTCAATAACATTTTAAATGACAATAAATGGAAATACAACATAAGTCTAGTCATGGTATGTCACTTTTGTTGACTAAATGCCCTTGCTAGTGGTTCACGAGGATGATGATCTACTTTCCATTCCATTAGCAATAAACATCTATTAGAAATAACCACTTTGGTTAGCATATGCTGGGCCTGCTGATTAAATCAATAAAGAATTAATGGATGGATATATAATTAAATGCCAGTCAACATGATTTTATGGAAAATAGGTCTTTTTAGAAAAAACTAACTTATTTGGTGAGATTACAAATTTGGCTGATAAAGTTAACGCCTAGATGTAATATACTTAGGGCTTGTCTATACAAACATTTAGTTTGCAGCAAGCTGGGTGTGTATCTACCCCACACTAGCCTCCCAGGGACGGTCTCTGTGGACTCTGTTGACACACATTCACAGTTCCTCCATGTGCTTTGATCTAATCCTCTTTGAAATGGGACTAGATCAAAGCGCATTAATGAAGTGACCGAGGTGCAGTAGGTTCACATCCCAGCTTGCCAGGAACTAATTGTTCATATAGACAAGCCCTTAGATTTTTGTAAGGCATTTGACTTAGAACTGTACAATATTCTGATTTTAAAAATAGCACTACACCACATTAATAAAGCACATATTAAATGGATCAAGAACTGGCTAGCTGACAGATCTCCAAAAGTAGTTGTCAATAAGGATCATCATCAAATGGTCATGTTTCTAGTGGGGTTTCACAAGGATCAATTCTAGGCCCGATACTATTCAATATTTTTATCAATGATCTGGAAGTAAAAATAAAATCTTTGCTGATAAAATTAGAGGATGATGACACAGACTGACATTGAAGGAAATAATGTTAAGGACAGAGCTGTCATACAGAGCGATCTGGATTGCTTGATAAGGTGGGTCCATTCAAACGAAACGTGTTACGGTATGGCCAAATATAAGGTCAGACATGTAGGAAAAAAGAATGCTGGCCATACTTACAAAATGGGGAATTGTACCCTGGAAAGCAGTGATTCTGCAGGGATTTAGAAGTCAGAGGGGCAAGAAAGGGTAATGTGATCCTTGGATGTATAAATAAGGCCCTAAGGAATAGGATCAGGGAGGTGATTTTTACCTCTGTATATGGCTTTGATGAGACCAATACTACATATAGTTCTGGTGTCCAAATTTGTAAAAGGACATTAAAAAACTGAAGAGGGTGCAAGGAAGAGCCACAAAAATAATTTAAGAGCTAGAAAATGCATCTCCCAGTGAGAGATTTAAGGAGCTCAATCTGTTTAATTTATCAAAAAGATCAAGAGATGACTTGATTACAATGTATAAGTACCTTCACAGGGAGAAAATCCCAGCTACCAAAAAGCTGTTCAATCTAGTAGAGAAAGACATAGCAAGAACCAATGGCTAGGCTTAGAAACAGAAAAATTCAAATAGAAATAAGGCACAAATTTTTAGAATGAGAGTGGATTCTCCATCTCTTGATGTCTTCAAATCAAGGTTGCCATTCTGCAAAGCATATTTTAGTCAAACAAGTTATTGGGCTCAATATATGAGTAACTGGGTGAGATTCTCTGGCCTGTGTTATACAGGTCAGAGTAGACGATCTAAGAGGGACCTCCTGTTCTTAAAATCTATGAATGTAGGCTAGTGAAGGATGTGAGTGCATGCATTCTACTAGAATCTCTGAAAATAAAATAGCATTGTGTGCGCGCACACACCCATCTGGATTTACCAGGTTGTGTGTGTGTGTGTATATAACAGTAGAAACTCAATTAAAGAACATTATTACATACAGAATAGAACATAACAAAATAAAATGTCATGGACCTGGGACCCTATTACGGTAGCTGTAACTGTAAAAGCCTAAGGGTACTGGGATGTGTCCCATGACTACAAACATTGTTCAGTCTTTAAAGTTCAGTTCTGGTCAAGGGCGGTGGGAAAGATTTAATGAAAAGGATAGTGACAAGTTGTTACAATGGCAGCTCAGAGAGAAAAAAGAAATTGTGGCAATAG